ACAAAAATAAATATCAAGAGTATTATTAATATATTAATTCGAATATATTTTTTTACATTATCAAAAGAATGTAGTTTATTGTATAAACAATAAATTAATAAATAAATAAATAAATAAATAAATAAATAAATAAATAAATAAATAAATAAATAAATAAATAAATAAATAAATAAATAAATAAATATATATATATATGTGTGTGTATAATGTAAAAATAGTATGAAAAGATTGCATATATAAAAATGCGATTTTATTGCGTTTAAACGATAAAATAATTTTAAATAGAAAAAGGAAGAAGGAAGAAAGATGAAGAAGAAAGAAGAACAAGAAGAAGAAGAAAGATTTAGAAAAAAGAAGAAGAAAGAAGAAGAAAGATGATGAAGGAAGAAGAAGAAGGAAGAAAGAAGACAAAGAAGAAAGAAAAAGAAGGAAGAGAGAAGAAGAAGGAAGAGAGATGAAGAAGAAAGAAGAACAAGAAGAAGAAGAAAGATTTAGAAAAAAGAAGAAGAAAGAAGAAGAAAGATGATGAAGGAAGAAGAAGAAGGAAGAAAGAAGACAAAGAAGAAAGAAAAAGAAGGAAGAGAGAAGAAGAAGGAAGAAAGAAGACGAAGAAAAAAGAAAGAAAAAGGAGGAAGAAAAGGAAAAAGAAGAAAGAAGAAAAAAAAAGAAAGAAGAAGAAGAAGAGGAAAGAAAAGAAGAAGACCAATTTTGTTATCTTACATTGAAAACGAAAAAAGGGCTCAATAAAGAAAGAAAAGGATGAGAGAACTAGAAGAAGAAGAAGAAGAAGAAGAAGAAGAAGAAGTAGAAGAAGAAGAAATCGAAATAGAAGAAGGAAGAGGTAGATGGAGGAGGAGGAGAAGAAAGAAAAGATGAAGGAGAAGATGGAGGAGGTGGAGAAGGAAGAAAAGATGAAGGAGAAGAAGGAGGAGGTGGAGAAGGAAGAAAAGATGAAGGAGAAAGTGGAGGAGGTATTAGAAGAGGTGGAAATATTAGCGAGACAAATAGTTCAGCTGGTTTGGCGCGAGCGTACAGGTTTATTTCCCGTGTTTGCGCGAATATGTTAAAAGGGTGTGCGCAAAGACTGCCTTAGGAATGGTGCGCAAGCGTACAAATATTATATATATATATATATATATACTGATGTATGAATGTGTGCGTATACGTGTATATCTATATAAAGGCATATAGTAGGTAAGGGCTAGTAGAAACCTTCGTGTACTATAACTCGAGTAACCGATGCTTGTACGCGGCTCATGCCAGCTACTACGCGAATAAGCGGAGCTTAGTCCCACGTATTAGCATATGAGCGCTGCCTAATTAACGCTACGACCGCCGCACGGTGCGCAAAGGGGCATTAAATAATGTAAACCTCCGGAGCTCCGCCATTGTCTTACCGAAAGCCCTTCGTAAAACTAGAGTTAAGTCGTGGAATAGTCCGAGATTTCCCTCGTGCCGTCATGCCGGGCTCTTCGTTGATGCTTTCACTCTCTTCCTCTCTTTCTCTCTCTCTCTCTCTCTCTCTCTCTCTCTCTCTCTCTTTCTTAGTCTCATTCTAACTCAATCTATATCCTTCGTGTTATATAATTCGTACGTAACTTTTCATTCGCTGAGATTCTTCTTTTTATTTACCCTTTTCTTTTTTTGTTTCTTTTACTTCTCTTTTATTTCTTTCCTTTTTCTCTGTTTTTTGTTTTCTTTTTTCTTTCTTTTTTCTTTTTTTTCTTCTTATTTCATTTTAATTTTCATACGTCCTTTTCTTTTTTCTTTTTCTTTTAATCAATTTTTCGCTCGTAGAGATTAATTCATTGAATTGATTCTTAATTCCTTAATTTTAATACATACATATGACGGAGAGAACGTGAAATTTAATTCATAATTCGATATAAATAATATTGAATTATATATATATATAATATGAATTATCATTGATATTTGATATAAACGATATGATATCAATGATTAGATCAATCGCGATCTCATAATATAATATAAATATTAATATAAATAACATTATCTATATTTAATATTTAAATAAATTAATGACATAGCATTTCATTTCAAATTAATATTAATTATCAATTCAAATATAATTAATTTAATAATTTCAAAATAATATTAATCATTAATATATTAATAATGAAAAAAAAAAAGAAAAGAAAAAAAAAAAAAATTAAGGATAATCCTTTATTATTCGATAATGTAAGAATTCTTTTATTTGTCCGTTGAATATTATTTTTCAAATATGTTTATAAACAATTATATACGTATGTATGTAAACACGTAAGAGAATCGATCACGAAGCTATTACAAATCGACGAAGATAAGACAAATGTATTTATATTTCTATATCTCTTCTCTCTCTCTCTCTCTATCTATCTATCTTTCTTTCTCTCGTTATAACATGTATCTTCTCAAGGACGTACGATATTTACGATCACATAAGTAATATCAACACTACGCGACCAGATATACCACTACGATCATTTAATTCCGTGAGGCCAGAGCAGATCCAAATTAACACATTCGAAGTCCACTCCTCCATCGTATCCGTAATCACTGATTATATTTCGGTCCAGCTCAGCATCCAAGAACATAACAATTTATATATATATATATATATATATATATATATATATCAGTGATCGTTTGACGAAACGGCTTCCACGTTTTCGATTAAAATTCATTAAAGCTTCTGAGATTAGTGTGCTTCTGAAAATGGACTTGAAAGAGCATGCGACGCATATCAATCGAAGAAGAAACTAGCGAAGGGAAAGAAGGAAAAAAGAAATAGAGTGAGTGTGAGTGTGAGAAAGGGGAAAAAAAGAAAGAGAGAGAGAGAGAGAGAGAGAGAGAGAGGCAGTCGAGTCACTAATGAGAGCGACAATTCAGTGTGTCGGGTACAGGTCGTGTGGAATGCAGCCAGCCGAGAGGCTTCCAACATTCATAAATTTATACCAACTGCCTTCTGCCAGGTTCGTTTTATCGTCTGACAATATGCCCCGAGCCTTCTCTGATCGGTTCAAACATTCAAAATCAACTCATTCGGGCCATTTGATTATTTCTAACGAGATTGAGAAAGAATCGGTGGTAATGGGTAAAAGGAAGAAAGAAAGAAAGAAAGAAAGAAAGAAAGAAAGAAAAAAAAAAAAAAAAAAAAAAAAGAAAAGAAACAAATGGAAAAATAAAAGAGGAAAATAAAAATGAAAATAACTTAAGAAGGGGAGAGGGCGAAGGGAGGAGGGAAGGAATAAAAAGGAATACATTTCGAAATTATTTTTTATTGTTACACAATATTATTATAATAATGAACGTTGGATTTGATAAATGAGTAAATGAAATTTCATTCTTTTTCTTTTTTTTTTTTTTTTTTTTTTTTTTGAAATAAACTTCTCACGAATTTCAATATTGATTGTATTAATAATCTTCTATTGACATTGAATTTTCGATACTTACATTCATATAAAAAATATATACTTCATTTTTCATTGAAATTTTCATTGAAATTTTTTTTCCAAATTTTCAATGTACTCATATATTATCGACCGATATAATAATAAATAACATAATAAATATAATAAAATTATGTATACATATATATATATATATATATATACATACACTTAAGTATTATAATTTATTATCATTATCCTGTAAGGATTTCACATGATAAAAATCGAAAGAGAATAAATAATACTCCATGATAAATAATGAATTCGAGTAAATGATTGGGGGAGAGCGAAAGGGAGAGGAAGAGGAGGAGGGGTAGGTGGGGGATAGGACGTAGAAGTGGGAGAGATTGGTGATACAGTAAGAGGAGTAGGGGAAATAAAAATGAAAAAATAAAAAAAAAAAAGAAGAAGAAGAAGAAGAAGAAAAGAGAAAAAAAGAAGCAAGAAAAAGGAAAAAAGTAAAAGGCTGTATTAGAAACCATGCGCCCATATATACATACATATATAGATATCGGCATCATTTTGTATGCAAGAGTACTATCCAGAACGGTTAGATAAAACGTTCGTTCGATAAGTCGCAGCTCGCTAAGCGGTTACGTATTCGACGACTCATCGAATAAATACCAAGGCTTGTACGTGTGTACACACACACACATATATATATATATATATATGTATATATATATATATCAACGTGCGGCTTAACAGAGCTTTAATAAATATCCCTTGAAAGTCTAACGTATATTCCCCGACTTGGACGATACGGCGAGAAGGCATTAAAGCGATATTTCGTAGTCGAGAACGTGAAATGTGTAGGATATCTCTCTCTCTCTTTTTCTGTTTATATATATATATATATGTATATGTAAGAGAGAGAGAGAGAGACAGAAACAAAGAGCGAGAGAGAGAGAGAGAGAGAGAGAGAGAGAGAGGAAGGATGTTGATAATCGGCAACGGTGATGATAATGATGATGATGATGATGATGATGACGATGATTCGTCAAACGAATAGAAACGTCAGAACGCAGGTAGATATAAACATTGATTGTCCTTTGAGACTGTTAAACACTGTGAAATCGAAATTAAAGAATAAAAGGTGCCTCGCATTCGATCGATGTTTATTTTATACATACATATATACATATGTGCGTGCGTGCGTGTGTGTGTGTGTGCGTGTGTGTGTATGTGTGAAGAAAAAAATGCAAAACAAAACAAAACAGAACAAAAAAGGGGAAAAAAATAGGAGAACAAAATAATCGTGCCAACACGTAACAAAAGATGAATCTTCGAGGTTAGACAGGAGATACTGACAGAGAGAGAGAGAGAGAGAGAGAGAGAGACAGAGAGAGAGAGAGAAAAAAAAAGAGAGAGAGAGAGAGAAGTCTTTTAAACGAAGAAATTCCTTTCACATCCGTGTGTATGTGACGGACGTCAAAAGGATCGGACGCTCGTCGCAAGGAAAGGTGATTCGAGTGGAAAGAGGACTATGACACAATGAAGACGTTTCTCTCGCTCGATCAAGATCACCATGCTCGTGTTCAAAGGGACCTGCTTCTACTTCTCTCTCTCTCTCTCTCTCTCTCTTTCTCTCTCTCTCTATCTATCTATCTATCTATCTTTCCTCCTTGAAGCATGGTTATTCTATCTAATGGATATAACACATAACGTTAGAGTAATGTGTTCGCTTCTTTATTAGGATCTTTCACGTAGCCACCTTTCGAATTCAATATAATATAAAAGGCTAAACACCACTTAGGTACAATTTATAATTTTAGAAGAGTAATCACTGTACCAACGTTTATTCGATAATAATCGTTCTAATTGCCGATCCTACGTGTTCGTTCGTTTGGACGAACGAAAAGAGGGGAAAAAAAAAGAGAGAAAAAAAGATGAAGAAGAAGAAAGAAAAAGAGAGAGAGAGAGAGGGGGGGGGAAAAGAAAAAGTTGAAATGAAAGACGAGTGTCCCTTTTCGTCAAAAGGATATATGTTGAGACGAAGGAACTAAAAAAGAAAAAAAAGAAGAAGAATCAAAAAAGCCTGAAATTAATCGAGACACGAATTAGCATGAATCAATTGGTATATTAATAGTGATACGAATTTTTGTCGATTATCAATCTCTCCTTTGCGCCGAAACGTGTTCGAATAAAAAAGAATGCGAACGTGTCTAATACACATAATCGTCATGATTTAATAATAATAATCACTCTATAGACGCGTTTATTCGACGTACGATCTAAATAATTCAATTGCCTGTCCTCGTTTATTTGTACAAAAGAAAGAAAGAAAAAAAAAAAAAAAACAAACAAAGAAAAGGAAAAAAAGCAAAAGAAAATGTAGAAGTTAAATGAGTTCGATAAGAATGAATGATAAACGTTGTCAACTCGTAAGAAAAAATAGTGCTAAATGTTTTGTCGAAATCAGTTTATACTTTTATGAGTTAGTGTATTATTGCATAAGGAAAAGATGCACGAACAACTAATACATAATCATGTTAGTGGACGTCGTCTACTTACTTACTTACTTACTTACTTACTTACTTACTTACTTACTTACTTACTTACTTACTTACTTACTTACTTACTTGGTCCTTCAGAGGTGCCAGCACACACGTTAATGACGCGTGTATTAAAAACGTGGCTGTCTTAAAATAAACGAGCCCTGGGTATACTCGATGATTGATGAGGGCTGCCTCCTTTGGCCTCTCCCCTTCTTATTCGACGTTCAACGACAGTGACGTTCCTCCTCTTCCTCCTCCTCCTCCTCCTCCTCTTCTTCTTCTTCTTCTTCTTCATCTTCCTCTTCTCCTTCTCATCATTCTCCTCCTTTTTCTTTTTCATCTTCTTTTCTATCTTTGCCAAAGACCAACTGAATATTCGTGGTATGTTTCTATAGAGACTATATGTACGTATATATGTACGTACGTATGTATGTATATATATGTGTGTGTATGCATTTATGTATTTATGTATGTATAGCTATAGTTACATACCATCTTCGAAATAGGAGCGGTAAGGTGCCAAAGTAGAACGTTTTACATACGAAGGACAGAATAATGATTTGTGCCTGTTTGCTTCTTCGTAGTTTATCGTATTAGTTTGAATATATGTTAGAAAGACAGATAGAGAGTGAGAAAAAGAGAGAGAGAGAGAGAGAGAGAGAGAGAGAGAGAGAATAACATTCGTTCATTCAATTGATGCGATTCGATCGGACTTTGTTCATTGAATTTACATCGCGCTTCGCATTATTTTTTCGTACATTCGAATACATTATTCAGGTGTCAAGCTTATTGAATTATTAATCGAATCAATGTTTCGTTAAACTCGAATTTTTTTATATAACCACGTTTTATTTCCATTGTTTATATTCTTTTGTTGTTTGTAATATATTATGAAAAATTATATTTTATAACTTTATACAATAATGTAAATATATATATATATATATATATATATATATATATATATATATATATATATAATTTATTAATCAATTTAGATTGTATGAAAATGTGGGTTGTAATTTTTTTCTTTTACTTTTTTTTTTCTCTCTTTTTTATTATATATTTTTTTTTCTTCTTTGTCTTTTTTCTTGTTTTTTCTTCTTTTTTTTTCTTTCTTTTTTCGTTTCGCGAAATCAACAAGACACTTTGTTATTAATGATAATCCAATTTATATGTCAATCCGATATTAATTGTTTACATGTATTAGTATTTATATATGAATGAATTTTGTTTACTGATGTTATTGTTTCTTTTTCTTTTTTTTTTTCTTTTTTTTTAATTTCATTCGAGAATTCGATCATTGAAATTATTTATCACCTATATAGCATAATATCTTACTTATGTATTAAATCACGTAAAACGATAATTTGTAATTTTAACGATTAGTATATATATATACATATATATATATATATATTTATTTACAATCAATATACGTATGATAGAACGAAATGTATTCTTTTCATTTTCTTTTTCTGAAAAGGAAAATAATTAATAATAATAATAATAATATTTTTTTATTCTCTCTCTCGTTTTTTTTTCTTTTTATTTTTTATCTTTTTTTTTTCTTTTTTTTTTTTTTTTTACGTTAATCGACCATTAACGTCATATACGTATACGTATATCTCTGCCCATACAAATGTTTTCTAAGAAGAAAAAGAAAGAAGAAAAAGAAAAAGAAAAAAGAGAGGGGAGAAAAAAAGCGATTTCGTTAGAAAACACATTTCTAAGGCGCCACCACGTGACTTCCGGCGATGTCAGAAAGCAGAAATCCGTCAACATAACGATCTTGCCGACGCGTTGCTTCCTTCCCTCGCTAAGACGAAGGAAAAAGAAAAGTGTATAAGAGGTGGATAGGGAGGGTTGAAGGGACCAGGAGGGGGGGGGGGGGAGAGGAACGAAGAAGAGGATCGTTTCGTACGGTCGCGAACGATCGTTAAGTCTTGTCGCCTTGAATTATTCTGGATATTTTAACGAATCGTGTCTAATTATTTATAATTAATCACCGGTTTTGTGTCACCGACAGCGCGCCAGTCCGCTCTTGGTGGCTCTGTCGATCGTTTATATATATATATATATATAAAAGAAAAAAAAAAAAAAAAAAAAAAAGAAGAAACAACGAAAGAAAAAAAAGACAGGATGAAAGTAAAAGAAGAAAAAAGAAAAGGGAAAGAAGAAATATAGAAAGAGAAAGAA